TATAATAGTAAAATGTGCCATTCAAAAACAAATGTTTCATTCTCCGTAACAGAGTCTTGTCCTGATTCATACTTATCCTTTTCTCGAATATTTTTTAATCATTCTTCCTGTTGTCGAGAATTTCAATCGATTTCTGTTTTACTAAGAATATTAATCCAAATCCACAAATTTCTTTCTGAAGAAGAAGTAGAAATAGGATTTGTTAGTAAAATGTCACTTCTAAGCATGGTGAGCAAAGCCCATTCCACCAACTTGATGGCAGAACCTGATTGTTTCTTACTGCTTTCCACATAATTTGCTATCAAACTGGCCGCTTTTACTTTTGAAATTTATGTTAACACTTGAAATATTTTGCACCACTTTGTAAAATGCTTAATTCTTGTATTATATCACATACTCCATTAAATTCACTATTAGTAAGAAGCTTCCCATGATATTGAGGACCCAATAAATAAGCAGCATTGTGATCACATGTATTTATATCGTTTTTTCTTTTTTCAAGCATTTTTTAAATTTTTTTTCTTCATATTTTTAATAGTATGTGACCAGGTCAAATACTCCTCCGTTAAATTGACTGAATTTAACCGGTAGAATGACCGACTTGCGAACTCTGGTTTATTTTATTTTGTTTATATAATGATATTTTCAAGGATTACTGGATGATTAATGATTTTTATATAATGAGATGATTTTTCTCTTTTTTAAAATGAATGTTCTTAGCCTGATTATTAATTTTCTGATGTTGGAAACCGGGGTGTCATTAGCCTTTACAATCTCAGGAGGCTCAAAAAATTTTTTTTTATTATTTTCAAAATTGTCTTTTTTTAATACTTTTTTTTAGCTCTAAATTACCTTCTTTTTTTGCTAACTTGCCTATTTTTTAGTGGTATAAAAATTCGAAATTTTGAAGGGCTTTTCAAATTTTTTAGGGATGCTCCTAATTGAAAATAGTTTCTATATTATACGATTAAAGGATTCAATAAAGAAATAGATATTATTTGACTATTATACGATTAAAAGTTCTAAGAATTTCTAGAATATGCCATTTTTTGATAGTGAGATAACCTTAATATAGCTTTTGTATCTTTCTTGCAACCGATATTACATATTTACCAAGTCACAGAGACTCTTATTTCCTTCGAAAACTACTGGCGTGAAACTTCGACTGTAAAATTTATCGCTCCTTTCAGTTTCAAACCCCTTCCTAAAATGAATTTCATAAAATACGATGAAAGTGCTTTTTTGCAGAAGAAATTAATAAATTATATTTACAATATTGTGATAAATTTACAATATAAAAATTTAAGAAAAGATTATCACAGTGACAATTAGTAAATGAATAAAAATATCTGAAATTAAATTGTTAGTCTATCTCTGGCCGTCCAAGATTAATAACTGAAGAAAAGTGAGAAATTTGAGTGTAAAGGAAGAGATAAATAGTTAAATGGTGCCCTCATGTACCTTTGTTGAGCTGATAAATAAATTTGTAGAAGTTACAGATGGTCATCTAATACGATGAAAAGGAATAGGGATCTTCAATGATACGATGAGGAATAATATGATACCTCTTCGAAAATACGTTAATAAAAATTATGACGATGAGCTAAGATACGAAGAGAATATCAGATTCGCTCATTATTAGGAATATCAGATAGAAAGGGAGGTTAGAGAGAGATGTAATGATTGAGTACCGAAGATGACCAAGAAGATGGCAGGGAGGAAATCATCATACCTGATTTTATAAGAAAACTATGATATTATAACTAATTAATTGCATTTTATATGCTGTTATTGATTGTATTTTATATTAATACTGATTTATTTTGTAATATGAAATTGTAACAATGTGAATAAATAAATAACAAATATATGTTATAATTTAATTGAGATAGCATGAATGACAATTTAGCTAATTGTTTAAAATGTAAATTACAGTATAAAGGTATAGATTAATCTGCTAATTTTGTTTGCAAAATAGAGCTATGCATGCGCTACTTTAAAAAGTTTTCGCTAACTTATATCGGCTATATCTTGTTTGATAAAATTTGTGATATTCAGCTTCCACTATATCCCCTCAATAAAAATAATTGAATAAGTCTTTCCCAGTTATCTATCACTACTTTATTACTATTTACAAATTCTTACTTTTCCTTTTTTTTCAAAATATTTACCCATTTTTGCCCATTTAAAATATAGACTATGGATACTGTTATTCAGTGACGAATCGTCAGGTTCACTAATTGGGAAGCAATTGGTCAAACTCAAACCATAAAAACATAAAGATTTATACATAAATTGTATTCCTCTTTGTTTTTGAGTAAAATGATAGTACTGCATTATAAAGGTTATTGCTAGATTTTAAATTTTTTAATAATTTTTTTTCAATCGAAATCAAAGATAGATTCGATAATCGATTTTGGCTCATAAGATTTGATTCTTTTTAAAGATGAAAAACTCCGTTCTGCACTTGATGTTGTTGAAGTTAGTTAAGATGAATTTGCATAATTTAAAAAACTCTTTAAAACTTTTCATCAAATAGGTGCATATTAAAATTCAAGTATTACATTAACATTCTTTTTCTTTCTAAATTCAACATCCCGAAATACTACCTTTAATACGGTTTCCAGATTGTGTAAGTCGAAAAATTGAGAATAAGTGTCGTTTAAATTATCTAATAAATATTTTGGGAATTTTGATTATTTGGAATTTACTAATATCTAACAATTCGACGAATTTAATATTTTTTGGTGTAAGACATATGAAATAGAATTAATCAAATCATTTTGAATATCGCTTGATAGTCTAATAAAAACTGCACTATTTCTATATGATGTTTCAATAGTAAATTTTCTCAGCGGGCAAATAAATTAATTCAATATAATTCCTCTATTTACTGAATTAGAAGATTCATCAACACCACGAAGTATGAGCTCCTGAATACAGAGAAAACATATAGAGTTGATCAATATTTTCAATATTTCTCTATTTGATTTGACTTTAGAATTATGCTGTTCGATTGATATTTTGCACATCGAATCTATCATATTTTCAATATGATTTTGGCCAAATGTTTTAAATTGAATCATCGAATGCAAATGAGCCGTTTCTTCATGCCATTTAACTGCTTTGAAAAATTATTCATATCCGAAAATCTTTTATCATACCAAACATATTTTTCCTTTGGGAATAATGGGCATGACCAACAATATAGAGAATTAGAAAATTCTCATCCAGTGAGCCATTCATATTTTTCATATTTATAGATAGAAAAATTACAGATGCAAGTTTTGATTTCTTTTTTTAAGTTTTCTAAAATTGGATTTGGTCTTCCTTTTTCAATAATCAATTTTTTAGCATCAAAATTTCTTGAGCTAAATGATAATGTTAATAAATTTTCAATAATACAATTACAATTATTAAACATTAATTAAGGATTTTAAAAACGAAAAAATTTTTATTTTACAAAAGTAAGGAAAAAAATATTATATAAAAAAATTTCTTTCTCTTTTATTTATTAAAAAAATAAGCATTTTTTTTATTTGCTTCCTCAATGCTTATTTTTTAATAGTAAAATTACACAATACCATGGCATGATTTTCTCTTTATTTATTAAAAAAATAAGCAATATTAAATTTGCTTCCCTCATGTATATTTTTTTTAACGTAGTAAAAATAATAGTTAATTTTTTAACGTGGTAAAAATAATAGTAACTTTTTTAACGTAGTAAAAATAATAGTATTTCTTAATATAGTGAAATGATATTAATTTTTTAACGTTATAAAAATTATATAAATTTTTTTATAGAAGTCAGTTTAGTTTATTTAGCTTAGTACAAAGATTATATTAAGTTTATTTATTGTACTACTGTAATTATCTGCTAGATTTCATTTAAAGGACACTCTGTATCGACAGTTATTTTGGGTAAATTTTTGAGAGCAGAAATAGACGAAAAAGTGAGATGAGGCAAAATAAATTAGCAAAAAATAATTATATCTAAAATTAATAAAATAAATATTAAAAAAAACGTTTCAAAAGGCTGGTTTTCATATATAAGGGGGCGATTAAAAATTTTGACTTGGTCATTGTCTGTTTTTTCTTGTCTAGATCGAGTTTGATACTTTATCCAATATCAAAATATTTTATCACAAAATAAATCACTGAGTTTGACATTATTAGAGTCAGACTGCAATCAAGGTTGATATGTTCACGGTTAAATATTAGAGCTCTCTATGGATCAATTTGAGTCAGGGGATTGGGAGCTCTGGGAGCTCAGATACTCGGACGCGTTTTGATTGGACCTTGTTAATTTTAATTCGGATCAAGCGAAAATTGATATTATTTTGTTATCAAAAATAACAAATTTTTTTTTATTCAACGCTTGAATTATATTGTACTTCCTTAACAATACAATAATACTTTTAAAAAAAATTGGATTACGTGCAATCATATTACATTTTAGCAATTCACAGTAGTTCTCTTTGTACAATATATTCATTAAGGTTACCATGCATATTTAAAAAATGAAGATTTGCGTTAGCTTTTATGGCCTAGTCTGAATATCTGGTCTCGAATCCAAAAAAGATTGAATGTTTATCGGAAACTAACTAGGTGGTTATTCCACTGACTGATTGTTTGTAAATCGAAATGGATCTAATGATTTTATGTATTAATAAATAAATAAAAATGTGTTTTATTGAATTTTTAAAATATTGATCTTGTTTAACAATTTCTTATATGTTGACAGTCGTTTAACATTAACCAATGCACGAATGTATACAAAGAAAACTACGATTGATTTTTAAAATTCAATTAGACATATATCATATCTCACATTCTTATACATTTATGTATAATTTTCTATAAAATCTTTTACAATACTTATTCCTAGAGTTTTATGAAACCTATAAAATTTTGGATTGTACCAGGATCTTTAAAAAATTAATAAATTAAATTGCTATGTTGACTGACGTTATGTGTCATATCTTAAATGGAAATTCTTATAAAGTGGAAAAAAAATAGTTATAAAATAGATTCTTTAAATTCAAATTCTACATTGTTAGACTTGAAAATGAAGATATTTGATTTAACCTATGTTCTTCCGAAGCGTCAGAAATTATTAGGAATAAAAAGTACCCTTTAGTTATTATAACAACTACAAAAATATAGAAAATAAGCCTCCCTTGGATGAAGATTCTTTAGAGCAATTAAATATAAAATCAGGAACTAAATTAATGATGATGGGTTGCAACGATGAGGTTTTTTTTGTTAAATATAATATTTGCATTGCTATTTTTTTATGAGAATTTATATTATTAAGAATATTATTCATGGACATTGCACAAAATTTTTTTTGGGCTGGGCTGGATAAATTGTTCAAAATATTTTTACAAGGCTGGGCCAAAATTTTGTAATGATTTTAACACTAATTGCTTTTCATTTTTCTTCACAAAAAATTGCTAAGGACTGGGCTGGACAACCTTTTAAAGGTATATTTTGCTGGTGAGGCTGTCTAAAAAAAAATAATTACAGGCCAGACCAGAGACCCAATAGAAAATTTCCACAAGCTGGGTTGTGTCTTCTAATACATTATTATTTCCTATTTATATAGCTAGAAGAAATTGAGGTGAATGACAACATTAAAAATGATTTAGATGATAACCTTGTTGAAGAAGAAATAAATATCTGTCAAAGGTACTTTAATTTTGAAGAAATATAATTTTCTTAAAATTTTTAATTACTTAGCATATATTTTTATTTTATAGGGTAGAAAATTTGGATAAAATAGAAAAAAGAGTATTAAATTATAATATCAAATCCTACCATGAACCTAGAGAGGGAAAATATTTGTTGGTTTTAGATATAGATGGAACTATATTTGGTAAGATAAGTTTAAATAAAATCATATCAAACTATAAGTCACACACTCTTTTTTTCCTATGTCAATCAAATACAACATATTTTTGAAATTTAAAAACTGTTGATAGAAATAACATAACGACTAAAATAAAATTGTAAAATACTCCTCAATTATTACAAAATCTGAATATGTAAATGAAATTATTAATAATTTTAAAAAAATCATAGGACATGGAATTGTTTTGAGGAAAAAAATTTGCAATGAATACTAACCAATTCCTTAGGACATTCTCATTTATTTAATATATCTTTTCTTAAATTACTTCAATGTAACTTTGTACAGAATCTTTTTTTATGAATATAATAAAAAATCAACTAAATTTATTGAAAAAAATAGAATATTTTTTTTCACTCTTCATTTACATAAAAATATTTTTTAATTAATAATAGCCATAAAAATAGATCCCTTTGTGTGATAATAACAATATTAAGATGATTTTTATCATTGTTTTTTGAAGTGAAGTTCAAGATCAATATTTTTTAATTAATAATAGCCATAAAAATAGATCCCTTTGTGCAATAATAACAATATCAAGATGATTTATAATTGTTTTTCAAAGTGAAGTTCAAGATCAATATTTTTTAATTAATAATAGCCATAAAAATAGATCCCTTTGTGCAATAATAACAATATCAAGATGATTTTTATAATTGTTTTTCAAAGTGAAGTTCAAGATCTTACTAAATAATTTTAAAATACAATTTAATATAATTTGACTACATGCAAATGCCCATCTAACTTATGACCCTTCTGCCACCTCATAGTATAGGTGGAATTAAATTCCCCTAATCGAGAAAGCCTGTATCAACCCTAGCCATACTTTGATTTATAGCTCTCACATCCAGCTATTTACAGTATCTACAACTTTTATCCCTGTTCCAGATATTCTTCATGATACCTTTAAATAGTGCAAACCTAGAATTCCATGCTAGTCATTTCTCATTGACCCCAAGCCTTATATCTTTTCTCTCATACTCAAGGGTGCAAAAAGCAAAATATTATTGTATCTATTATTTTTAACAACTTCTAATCAATCAGGCATTTGCTTGAGTTTTTATTTTAATCATTCCACAATTTACAATATCTGATCCATTAAGCAAAAATATACTTACTCAACAGATAAAAGATGCATACAAGCATCCTGTCTCTCTAAAATGATGACCCACATCCTTCAAAAATAATAAATAGGTAAGCCAAAATTCCCTTAAAATAATAGTTAAACCTATATCATGCAAAGTAAATAACTTGAACATTGAATATGTCATGTGACTTGCCATATCCAATGAATATCTGGCTCTGTAAAATAATGATTCTATCAATACCCTTCTTCAGAAAAACGAATCTAATAACATCAACACCAATAATACAATTTTCCCTGAACGTAGTATTTGCACTACCTACCTAACTACAGAAGATGTTATAAAGTGTTGCTATCTTTCAGAGTTATTAAACCCTACTTTTAAAAGTAGACCACTACCTTTAATTGTCAAAAAAAAGTTTCATACTACAGCTATTGCTATCCATCAAAAAAAGAACCCCCTATTAGCTACTATTTTAAAAAAAATAGCTTTGGCTACTTTTTAGGGTACCTTTTGTGAAATAAATTAAAAATAAATTTGTTTATTTTTTGCTTATAATGTAATTGCATAGTATATAGTACACAGAGATTTGCAGAGGTACCATTTGCACAACCTGGCCCTTTTTTCAAAAATTATATTTACGGCATGGCCCAGCCCTGGTTTTATATTTTAAGGCCCTGCCCGGCTTTTTTTAAAAAAAACTTTCAGGCCTGGCCTGGATTTTTTTAAAAAATATTATATTTATTTTTGATTTTTATAGCTAATAATAGCAATTTAAATATTTGGTTTTAAAAATATACAGCCCTACCCAGGTATATTTTAAAAAATTAAAATATGACTGGCCCGGCCATAAACCAAGGCCAGGCTTAGGGCCGGGTCTGTAGGTCTCTGATATTATATAAAAATTAACATTTATAAATTTTTTAATATATTTAGCTTTGATTATAAAAAATTTATGTAATAAAAATAAATATTTATGGTAAAATTCATTTTTTAAAATTTTTTTGTTGCTTTTTAATCTAAAATTATTTTTATACTCTTATTCCTAGGTCTAGAGCGATGGTCAGAAAGTATAAGTTTTGCCTTACTAAATAATCTCTTAACACTAGCATTTGAGGGCAAGCCAGTATTTAATATATAAAAATTTATAATATAAGAAAAATTATTAAAAATACTCATTTATAATTTTAGGTTTAAAAAACGCGTTTAATGATTTTTTATTATATTTGTATTCTTTATTTCATAAAAATTGTCAGTGGAGGTTATTTTTATAGTTCTAACTTGGGCATCTTTTTCTGCTATCTCAATCATTAATGTCTGGAGACAAAAAAATTGTTGTGCCAGGGGATAGTTTTAATCATCATGGTAATTGATGGATTATCAACCAATAACATTGGCTGAACTGTATCATATAAAATCAACAATAACATTATCAGCCTGTTTCTGAGAAATATTTGCATGGCAATAATTAATCAATTTAACTTGAAAATTGATCTTTTTGGATGTAGCTTCCCCTATGCCAAAATTATTAAGATGTTTTTCTATCTATTTAAAACTGTTGGCATGAACATTCTTACAAAATAAAAATACTATTAGAATTTAATAAATGACAATTACCTTTAGGTGTTTTTTGAGGTTATAGCTACTAGATTTATTTGATGATATATTTTTTTACAGTTGAAAAATTTTTTAACATAATTTGAAAATATTTTTAAATAAATGGAAAATTTGTATTATTGTTATCAAGAACATTTACTTCCAGGGTACCTTCCATTTCATTAATATCATAATTGTCTGACTCACAATTTGAAAATATTTTCAAATTTTGGAAATGGAAAATTTGTATTATTGTTATCAAGAACATTTTCTTCCAGGGTACCTTCCATTTCATTAATATCATAATTGTCTGACTCACTTACATCGATTTGGATATCCATTTGCCATGACATTTTAAATAATTTACACAAGATGATTTAGACTTATAAAACAAATTGAAAATATAAATTTCAATTTCTAAATCAAATAAATTATAAATAATTATGATATTATATTTAAAATTTCATGTTTATAGTTGCATTATATTTTTAAAAAGCATCTAAGCAGCGCGCTATTTTAACAACTCTGGTATAATGTTAATAAAAAATCGAATTACCTTATAAGAAACAGATAATTCATTTTCTGCAACAAGATAAGAATTTTAAGATATCCGCTTCATATTCAGCTAGCGTTGTTTTATGGCCTATTTAAAAAAGTCTAAATTAAATTTGCGCCAAAAACTATCTAAGCTTGGAGATTTTGCTCACAAATGATAGAAAGGTTTCGGCATCTATTGGCGAAATTTTGAGGAATAGGTAATAATATTTTAGAAAAAATCTTGATTTCTCCTTTTTTTTAAATCGACAAAATCGAGGTTTGACAACACTACATTTAACCACAATCACGAATATTTCCCATATTTTAAATGTGATTATTAACTTTTGAAAAATCAAATAATACTTAATCTTCGTAAAAATTAGTTGTTTTTTTTTGAATGAAAAATAATATAATTTTTTTTATTACATTCGTTTAAGGGTAGATGGTGAATAAAAATCAATATTTATTCGATCAGGTTTGTAGTTATATCATTTCGCATAGGTGAAAAATTTATGGATTGGCATAACCCACTCAATAAACTAATATCCTTTCAAAAATAACCCAGCTCATCAACAGTATGTTACTTGAGGACATTCTTTCAGTTATTACCAAACTTATAGCTCTTCACTAATCTATCAAAAACGTTAGATCCATTGTCATTGGCACACTTGGCGTCAACTACTAGCCAAAGTAGTAATGAGTTAGATGTAGTTTACAGTATCCTGCAATGTAAGTTTAATTTAGGAATTAACCTTAAAGCGAATGCGAATCTGCTCTTCACATGGCCCGAATGTACTTGGATGGCAACCCCTCAAATGGCCTCCTCGTCAAGATCGATTTCACTAATGCATTCAAAATTTTAAGACGCAGTTAATTTCTGATATCTGTCAACTCTTATTAACCAGAATCTTCCTAGTATCTTCAAACCAGCTACTCAAGACCAACACCTCTTTTTCGGAGATAAATGAATTCCTTTATTAGAAAGCATCAAACTGGGTAACTCGCTTGGACTAATTATCTTTAGTCTTAGAATAGATTCCAAGATATGAATCACACACTCCCAATTTAAGCTCATAGTATAAGATGATGGAATAATAGGTGGCTTGCCCGATCAATTCAATTAAACAATAGGCATCATAAAATAATAGAAAAGGTAGGTCTATTAAATCCTTGTCCCACAACAATGTTGAAAATAATATAAGGTTCAAATGTATTGAGAAGGGCACATCTCATATCTAGGGTCATCCTTTGACCAGGAAAACTTTTTTAAGATTTTGCAGACACTTCAAATGATCTTACACTTGACTACTGCATTTTTCATCACCAAGGCCTATCTTCTATTAAAGAATTATCTTGTAATTTCTAAATTTTTTGTACCCTATGATTGCCACGTATTTTTCAATATCCTGCCATCCTTGCACAAATGATGGGGCCGAGATTAATTAATATAATTTGAAATAGTTTTTTTTTAAATCGGTCCTGTTTGGGTTTGTAAAATTATAGGCCAGGCCGGATTTTTTAAGTTATACCATTTTACTCCCGAGTTCCGGACTAGGCCTGTGGTCTTTGCTGTACATCCTTATTTATTTGAAACTTTTTTATCATATAGCTTCCAATTCAACTGTCCAAGCTTTACTAATTAAACTCTTGATGCTAATTCCCCATCATATAATAACACTTATTAATTTCTCTTCTCTATTTTTTACTGCATATACTCGTAATGAAATGTCAGGCATGCTAATAAGTAAA